GGTAGATTAGAAAATAGTTATAATTAACTCTTAACTATACTATTTATAGACTTCTCTACTTAGTACTATAACCCCTCTAACAAGTGTATATACTAAAAGTCCTAGACTTAATATTAGTCTACTAAATAACTATCTTTAGGTCTAAGGTAGAAATAATAAGCTAGGGTGTATTAAGAGTTGCTAATATTTTGCCTATAAACTCTATACACAAGGAAAAAGAAAAGCCTATAAGCACTTAGATCTAGCTAGGTCTAGTTATAGTTTTCTTAAGCGCTAAGGTTAATAACCTTAGAACACCGCTTACTACTTTCCCCATTAAAGTTCTCAATTCCAGGGTTATCCTTCTAGATACTAGCCATAGTATCTATGATTATGCCTTAGAACAGCGCCATGGTCTAATCATAGTGATCAAAGGCACTCGTTTCTAGCACCGTCTTAAGCCAGGAGGCATCTTCCGCAGTGCAGAACTAGCTCAATGCCAGAAGGTCAGGCGTGATGGCTGTAGTCGTTATAATGGCAAGAGATATAAAAAAGGTGCCCTTAATCTAGGCCTCAAGTTTAAGAAAAGATTCAAGTTTAAGATGTTGTGCTTTTTTTACACTAGATCGTTACAGCTTGGAAAGTTAAGTTAATAATAACGCAGGCTAAGCGTAGTTCCCCTCCACTAATAACTTACTGTATTAATAACAACACAAGTCAATATTATCAGAGAACAAATTATTAAAAAACCATATACTAAAACGCATTTAGATCAGGCTAAGGCCAAAGTCTAGTAGTCACTAGGGTCTAAATCTAGATCTCTACAACCCCCTGGCCACAGTGCCACCTATGTAACAGCGCCTACATGTTTAGCTACTAATAAGTATATCTCCCGCTTGTCTAAGACAGAGCTATTAAAATACTAGATTAAGTAATTATATAGTGTAGGAATAGAATAGGAGTAAAGGGGGAGTAGTAAGGGTGTATATACAAAAACAGATTGCTTGCGGAGGGTCTAAGGTGAGCAGATCCAGTGCGAATGTGGCAGATGTAAACATAACTGAAGTGAACACTGCTAAACTGAACACTGCTAAACTAAACACTGCTAAACTAAACACTGCTAAACTAAACACAGCTAAACTAAACACAGCTAAACTAAAAACAAGCCTAGAAGTATTATAATGTAATGGAGCTAAAAAGAGTATACCAAATCGTAAAGTAATTAGATTCTCTTTAGGTTGTATTTAGGGTTATTTAGATTACTCTGCCTTTAGTTACTAGATTCCTATACTATACACTATATACTAGTTATAGCGCTAGTTGTAAACCCTATTGGCTAAATTGTTTGCCCCTTTCGGTGTTAGTTCCCGCTTATTGTCTGGTTCCTCTATAAACTCTTTATCCTTAAGAATCTCCTTATCGTCAGCCTGTCCCTCGGGTCTAGTTTCAGAATGCGCCTTATGAAATCGTTATCAGCAAAAGGGATCTCTTTACGGTTAATGCTAAGGCTACACGTTCCTTGCTGACAGCAGTCACAGAGTTCATACGTTGTAGATAAAATATGTTTGTAATAATCGAAGGCAGTCTTCCTATTAAAATTTAAGAAAGCCTTCAAAATTTTAAAGGAGCTTGTTCCTAGGCACATCAGAGAAGGCGCTTAAAAGACAAGCAGGAAGCACCAGCGTCACAGCTAAGAAGGAGACTAGAATAAGTTACTTATAATTTAGAAAACAAAAGAGTCATACTATCTCTTTTCTCTGTATAAATTTCAGGTTTCCTCTAAGTAAAAAAAAGGCTAGAAGATATTACATACGTTATAGAAGGAAAATAACCATAAGAATTTCAACTGAATATAAATGCCATATATCTCTCTAGGCAAATAAGCCTCCACCTACACAAACTTGTACTCAAGCAGAATCAACAATTCCTCTAGGGCTAGCTTCTAGATACCATCTTAACCCTAGCATTCCACAGCAATATACCACTAGTCAGTAAGCACAAAGTCCAAGTTCTCAATGCCATTCGCCAATACAAAAAACACCTCCAACTTGCCCAAATCATCTGTGTACTTAAACATCACCACACTAGAACCAAAACCTTGCTCTTTGGTGCTTAACAGAGAGATAGAGGCTTCCTTGAGGTCTTAACCGCCAGCGTAAATCTTAACCAAGGTCACCTTAATACCCTACAATCTCACCATGTAAGGCAGGCAACTCTTGAGCCCACGCATCTAGGCAACAGCTCACCTAGACCACAAAGACAGCAGCATATACCATACGTCAGGCTCATCATTCTTCAAATCAAACAACACTGTCTACGTGTTCTTAGCTACATCCTCAATAGACATGTTCAGGCTCTCCTCCACCGCCAAGCAAAGCGTGTGTCTCCGCCATTCTTTGACGCGTAGCAAAGATAGATAATAACATCACTAATAGTCTTGTACTCAAACTACATATATGTCTCAGGCAGCCTAAGCTTCCATGTGCTAATAGCTCCAGCACCTTCAAAAGGATAGTACTCGTCGCCGTTAAAATTCAACTCAAACACACCTACGTCTAGTTGCCCTGTACTTAAAGCCACTAAAGAGACCAGCAACTTAACAGTCTGGCTAGGAAACCGTAGGTCTAGCTTACTCAACAAAGACTTCTCCCCGTAGCCGTCCATGCAGCCTAGATCATAGCAATAACAGTAGTCAATCAGAGTCACGTTACAGCTAATGTTTACATATAGTCCAGCAACGCAGTAGAGCGAGAAGGCCACAGACTAGATACGTTAGAAGTACTGACCAGCGCAGTCCAGATCAAACAGCATCTCAGAAGGGTAAAGGTTGTCTTCCCCAGCTCACGTAGGCTAAGAATAGCCTCAACGTTCAGGTGACAGAGGGAGATGTTCTTGTTCATCTCAAAGTCATGCCGCAGCGTGTTAATATAAGACAATTCCATCTACTTCAGAGCCAACCAGAGCTGTTCTCCCGCCTACAGGCCACCACGCGACTCGTTCCAGTATCCCGTCAAAGAGATCATAGAGGCAGACGACGTGCTGGATCCCGTGGACAATATCGGCCGTCCAACCTCAAACTAATAGGCTGTCTCCAGCTTCCAAGCCAGTGTCATCGTCGCAAGGTATATTTAGTAGTAGATAGAACAACTGAAGGCCTCCAGCCCGCCATAGAGCTCTTTATTACTAAACTTAGACTGGAGGAACTGTTGGGTTTCGGACGCCGCCTCCACCACCTGCTGTTGCGCGCGCATGTTAATCTCGATGGTCTTAATACGCTCCCGCTGCACCTCCATCTGCCTATCAATGCTCTTCACCTCCAGCCCCACCAGGTTCAGCTACAGCCAGCAATTCTACGGCTACCAAGTCCACTATCTAATCATGTTCGCACGCTAGCAGTTCTCCGTCAACCTCTAGGCTTTGCCGCAGAAAAGACCAGCAGAAATCTAGAATCCAGCCGCTGGGCTCAGGAGCTGCTCAGACGCGCCAACACCCATTGGCTCCATGTTAATCAAGGGCATAGGGACAATAGACAGAATACTAGCCATCATGTCCTGGTCACAGGCAAGGTCGTTGAGTATAGATGCCGTGTCTGCTGATCGCAGCTCCAGAAGCTCGTTGGCCGTCAGACGTAGATCCAAATCCGTCAGCTTAACAATGTTCTACTCAATCTCAACATAGTCTTCGTCTTCCTTAGGAACATTGACCTTATCCCCTGAGAGGTCCAAGTAGTACTTCAATCGGTGAGCTGCGGCGCAACAAGCCTGTCCAAGCTACTCCAGCCCTCTCTCAGCCTCTGTCTTTTAAGAGACCCTCATCTCCGTCATGATACGTTGTAAGCTAGCATCTTGCTCGCCACCAAGCAGCTGCAGGGCTTCGCCGTCCTTCTTCTCCATGGCCGAGAGCAGCAACCTGGCCGTTCGCCTTAGCTCGTCGCACAACTCAAACGTTTTATGCAGCAGGTACATGAACCGCTGTCGAGGAACTACCTGACCGAGCCCCAACACAAGTAACAGCATGCTGTCGCTCTGCTGCAGCAGCTTGCCGAAGCTCCCTGCGCCGGCCACCGCGTTCACGAGGGCGCCGACGTCGAGAGGCGGACCCCACAGACTCAGACGGCGGAATATTCCGTTGATGTTGAGCGAGTGGCTGATCTTGAACAGCCGGTCGTCAATCAAAGAGCGCAGCTTGCCAAACTCCGGGTTTGTCTACACCCTAAAGTACTGCGGGCGTAGGAAGAAGCCAGAGTTAAGCTGGTTATCGCTGCCGTCGCCGCTGTTGCCGTTGCTACTACTGTTGTTACCTTTCTAGGACATAGGTATGTAATAGGGGCTGGCTATCTGGGACTGGATAGAGGCGTTGGAGAAGTCATCAATAGAAGAGGCAGTCTCGTTGTAGCTCTTGAACTGCTGTTTCTGGCTCTTGATGTCCCGCACCATCTGCGGCGTTGGCCTGAAGATGTTTGAGGCTTCTGTGTGGCGCTGGATGGCCATAGGAAGCATCTTGAGTAAGTTCTGGCGGAAGAAGACGTTACTGGCTGCCACAAGGGCTTTAATATACTTAATGATAAAGCGCTTTATGTACGCTAGCAGTCTGTTATAGGCAATAGTGTAAGGCTTAAAGGGGGATTTGCGCTAGTCTAGCACGTTTGGCGCCATCGTCCGGTTGGCTCTGGTGGTGGGCCGGAGAAAGTCTAGGATGGCATTGAGGGTGCTGTGCTTGAGTGTAGCCGGATGCTGAAAGGGGCGGGATTACTATGTTGGTCTCTATGTAGAAGCGGAGGCATTTGTGCTGCTGCTGTCCTTGTCCTTTGGCGGAGGAGGATTGTTACTGGAGCCAGTGGGATCAAAGACTAGCCTTGTATACTGCAAGGCTAGGTTGTACTGCTGCAGACTTATGAACTGCTCTACTAGAAGGGCAACAACGTGGAAGCCTGCCTTCTAGTTGTAGACGGAGTGCAGCATAGTGTCTTCCCTGCACTGAGTGAGGCCTGAGAACTTGCTAAAGGCTGGTCTGAAGCCAACTTAGGTGCCCGTAGAGCTGCTGCTGTTGCTGAGCTGCGGTAGCCCTTCCTTGATGGTGGCGCCGTCCATGACTGTGAAGACGCCTCTGGCACCGCTGTCTACTGAGAGAGCCTCTCTAAAGTCCTTCCTAAAGATGTTGTACAGCGGCATTATTAAGCCGGCATAAGCAGCCTCCTTGGCCTCTTGTGCTGTTACATCCTGGGACAGTGCTGTGCTATATGCCTCTGCTAGAGTAGACCATGGCTTGGGGCAGAGGCCCTTGGACACCTCCACGTTAGCCACAAGACCAAGATACTTGCCGTCTAGCATAGTAGAGCTGCTCTTGATAGTCCAGAGCACAGATTCAATCTTGAGCTTTGACCTAAGCGTTGGAGCGGACAAGGTTGGCCAGGTGCTGGGAACTCCTAAGTTTGTCCCGGCCGGATGGGAGGGGTAGCTGGCCATTGTCGTCTGCGAGACGGCATTAGACGAGCTGGCGGCAACCATGCCGAGCTCTGGAGACGTAAGCTGCTTGTTACTCCTAAACGGAGACAAGGCTACCATGGTGGCGTAGTCCCTGAACAACAGCGTCAGCCCCTGCAGCGTAAACTCGCCTAGACAGGTAATAGCGCTAGTTTGGCCGGTTTTGGAGCCGACTTGGAGGAAGATGACAGCAAGAATCTCACAAGATACGTCTATAATTAGCACTAATCGCGTCTGGAAACAAAACGAGTCGAAATCGGGGACAGGACTCGTTCCGTCACCCACTGTAAGCGTAGCCTGGCTCTCCTTAGGCAAGGACCAGACCTCGTCAACGAGCTCCAACCAGCCCATCTTGATGTCAAGGAAGGTCTCCACATTAGGTTTGTAGACTTTGAAAGTGCTGCTCTTCTTCTTGGTCGTTGTCGTGATCGTGGCGGCAGACAAGGCCTATGCAGCGGGATCCTTGGGCTTCTCAACTCGTATGGCCAGCTTGGGCAGGGACAGGAGAAGCCGGCTCTGTCAGGTCACAGGAGTCACGTAGCTCCCTGACCAACGCAGAGGCTTACCTACGCTGTCAATGCTGTGAGAGTGGATATTGAACAGGATCTTGGCTTATGGCGTCCATGAGGAACTGGCCACTGTGTTGCTGTGCACTAAATACGTCAGTCGGCAGTAGTGAAAGATGTACAGAGAGCTTCTTGTTTGTGCAATGAAATGGAATATGCCCTTAGCTATTTTCTTGCGCAGGTTCTGGCGCTCTAGGGTATTATCCGGCGCCGCCAGCGGCTTCTCCCAGTGGAAGGACTTGATGCGTAGGTTCCTGATCTCATTGGCCCCCTTGATGTAGCTCTGGATCATAGCCCTGGCTGTCTCGTCGCTTAGGCTTAACTGCATTACCTTTCCCTCTACTACTAAGCAGAAGAGCTCCGTCTTAGAGTCACGCAGGATCAGGTCAATCCACGTCTCAGGGTACAGGAACATCAATTAATTAGCGACCCAGAAGGTGTATCTCTGCATCTATAACCATCTGTCCTAAGGGATCAGTCGTCCATCAATGCCCTCTTTCCGGCCAAGGAGAGCGCAAGAAATGAAGAGCTAAACTATCAAAATGGCCTACTTAATGCGTGTTGTCTCGAGGCCAGAGCCCATTTGCACATCGATAAGGAACTGTTCAAATAGCCCATCCTCATCTACAATTCCAAGGCTACGCATAGCCGGACGTTAAATAAGATACTGCACTAGAGCCTTTAGGTAGCCATCCCGCAACGCATTTTTTACATCTTCAAGCGCCTGCTTAGCTCCATAATCAACAAGCGCAGCCCTCAGCTGCTAGATCAGCTAGGTCGTGGACTACGAGCCAGCCTTTTATCCGTTAACCCTGGTACTCTTCTTGAACGGCGATGGCGGACGAGAAGCATCAAAGAGAAGAGGTACTGCAGCTTCTTTGAGGCCAAGCGCCGTGATAAGCCGGATCTGCGAAGCCACTCTCTCCAGCATCTCAAGTCACCCAGGACCAGGCGGCGACTCGAGAACCACCAGTAAGCTAGCATGTTCAGTTCCCATACTCGCCTAGGGCAGTGTAATAAGAAGCTGAGCAGGCGATTTGGCACTAGAGGCCATTCAAGTGGCAGCATCATGGATAGAGGTGACGGCCTCTCCGGGGGTCATCAAGACCAGGCACCACCACTAGACAAAGCTAGCAAACTGTGCTTTGTAGCCAGTCTTTGCTATCTTTCTGCGAGAAAAAAGGTACCTCTGCATCGCTTAGACTGTCGCCCAGCCCGGCTGGCTCGTCGCAACACCCCAGACAGCGGCAGTCCTCATCACCAGTAGCAGGATCTAAGCTTCTTCCACCTTGATAAGGTACCGCTAGACCAGAATGCCCTCTAGCTGGAGCTGGTCAATAATTTTATAGGCCAAAGCCCCATTCTTGTTACTGTTGATAGCCACAGCAGGCTAGGATTCGTCGTCGTTTGGCGAGTCCGTTCCAGCGGCCCTCAATGTCACCTTGAGGTCAAACAGCTCCGTGGGCCATTCCATAAACAGGACCAGATTCTTCGGCGCGTTGGCCTCGCACTCGAACCTCAAAGCAGTACCTTTACCTGTTGCTTTCTTCAGAAGCAGCTCCAAGGTTGTTGCTACAGAGCCCCTAAGGTCCAGGGGGATCAGCAGGTCGCCAGTAATAGATGTTTCCACCTGGATGGTAACGTCTTCAGAGAAGACCAGGAATAAATCTTGTAGCTCTTCTTGCGATAAGAGACTCTTGTTAATAAGTGTGCGGTTGCGCACAATCTCAGCGAGAGTGCTGTCCCAGGTCGTGCTAGGCGGCGACAACGACAACGAAGACAATCCGTTGTCTTCCATTGCTAGCAAAAGTTTGCAAATCGCCAGAGGGAGGCCTGGAAGAGCTGCTTAGAGAGAAGTCTGTACGCTCTGCAGAATAAACTGTCTTCGTTTCTCCTGAACCTGATCTTGGCCTTCGCCTTTGCCTTTATCATCATTTCCGTCCTTGGGAGACTCGACCATGAGAGCGGCATTCAGACCACTAACCCGATTTTCCAACTTGCTGAGATACTTGATGACCGTCTCCGTAAGAGCCGGCGGGCATTGCTTTAAAGTCTGCATGTTCTTGGAGCCCAAGCGTCCTGCCACATCAAACAAGCTTGTGGCATCCCATCCGTCGGCCTGCAGCGTCTTCCAAGACTCGACCGTTTTTAACCACGTCTCCGGAGTAGAAAGAGGTGTGACTTCGGTGCTCAGTGTCATCAGCAGACTCAAGAGAACTGAATAGGGGACCCCGGCCATGCTCGCCGCTGTAATATGCCGGTAATACACCCAGAGCGTGTCAGGGGTGAGATCGTCACCAAGACCTTCATTGTCTTGGATCTGGACAAAGTCGTCATGGGACATGCCGACCGTCGCCAGTAACAGTGGCAAACAGTTCAATGTAGCTATAGCAGTGGTGCCCTGTCTCAGGGCACAGCTGATGACTTGTCTGCGCAGGTGATATGCGTTGGCAGGCAGAGAAGAGCGCAACGACCTTTGGCGGTTCCGTCTTACACAGGTCTGAAATCTTCCGTACTGTTGCTAGACTCTTGATGGTACTGGGAGTGATCACCAAGCCTCCCTGGGGAGTATTTGACGCCAGGTCCGAGTCTGGAGGCGGCAGCTCTCCAAACACCATGAGGGCATCGTCGGTTTCTTCCACAGACCACCCAAGCCTGCGCCATATTCTCACAAACTGCTCCAGACGCTGCAACTCGTACATGCAGGCGTCCTATCTGTTCTGTCCACAAAGGCGAAACCCTTCCAGCTGCGTTTAAATGTTACCGCTTGTCTTGCGCGCCGTGTTGCTCTGCGCCGCCACCGAGATAATAAGGCAGTTACACAGGAAGCCAGTCTTAAGGATCCTAAATAGACTCTTTAGGGACTTACCCCCTATTCTAGGCAGGAGCTGTCTTTTAATAAAAGCAAGTCCAACCTGGTCATTAGGCGCCAAGGGGTGCTGGCTATCGCTCTGTAGCATGTCAAACTCCCTGTCACCTGCGTCAGCATCTTTATCTTTGTATCCCCAGTAATGCCATATGAGAAGAAGGCCACACAACTTTCCATATTTATTAACTTGCAGCAATGAGTTGCCTGTCTTAGTTCTTGCCAGCTAAAGATCGAAATAAGACTCCATGGTCAGGCTCAGGAAGTCTGCGTGGCTTATTCCCAATGTTTAGGCCGCGTTCGTTTGGGCCAGAACCTCCTTGTTGGAACCATTTGGCTTTGCGAGAGGCTGAAACAAAGAGGCCATCTCGGGAAGGTTAGTCTTCAAAGCGGCAAAATACCTTTCCAGGCTATCTTAAGAATGGTCATAGGGAAAGACAGATAAGGGTGCTACCTTGTAGATGATAAGGCTGTTAGAGAGAGCGTTGTCAATATTGGCTACGTTAGACAGCAGTGCTGCTTTGTTTGCCGATAGGGGGACTTGGTTGACCTAGAAGGACAATATACTGCATTATAGTCACTACTATCCTATGTGTCCTTTTCAACGTTGTCTACATTGTAAGCCAGGATCTCCATGCCGTTGTTCTCAAGGTTGTTATTGTCGCTCGGCAAATAGCGCAGGGCAGACTTAATAACCTTATTCACAAGATCAATATAAGGCACTACCTTGTTTGTGCTACAGTACAAGAGAAGCATGTCCCTAAGATTAGGCCGCTAGTTAAAGAGCTTCTCCAAGATCAAACCTCAGGGGACACCCCCAGTGTTAAATACAGAACCATTAGATAGTAGCAAGGGGATAGTCACATCAGTAGTGGCAGGCTAGTTCTTAAGGAACCGCAGGAGGTCCACAAAGTAGGCTACCAGGCTGGTAATAGAGCAACAGTCCTCTTAGCTCACTTAAACAAGGTCGCCGAACTAGCTCAACAGATTCTTGGCAGAGCTAATGGCGGTTAACTGATCTTTTCTGTCCTTTAGAGCATTACCACCAGGGGTTACTATTACTAAAGGCTGTAAGACCAAGGACTTTTCTAACAATTCAATAAAGGCCTATTCTAATCGGACCTAAAGGCTCTTCGCCTCGTTGTGGATTCTGCGCGCGCGGCCATGGTCAACGCCTTGGGTGCTCAGCATCCTCGCAAAGACCGCCTAGGGCGTGTAAGCTACCTGCTCAAAGCCGGTGAACCCAAGGGCCACTAGGATCAGGAGCTCTTCTGGTTCTGTTATAATGTTGACGAACTGCTGTAGCGCCGACAGAAACCGCAGGATGGCGTCCTTCTGACCAGGATCCAGGAGCTTGTCCAGGCCTCGATAGCGTATCGAATCTGGAAAAGACATGCATTCGAGCTGAATCCGAGGCAGACGTGAGTGACCTAGCAAGTGGATGATTGATGTTTGCATGGGACTTGTCAGTCAAATTGCAGACAACGATGGTCTCATAAACAATGGTCTTTATATGGACAGTCTGTGCCTTGGCTTCGGATGCCTGTGCCGCTTCCGCTGTATGCACGCCGGCGAAAGGGGACTGGGACGCCTAAAGAGGCGCAGCTGAGAGCTAAGTAGCCGCCGAATTATGTCTTAAACAGGTCATATTTGCCAGCAAGAATAGGATTACCACATCAAACCATCCCCGCGTTTCGCGAATTTTAACAGATGGCTGGCTTCCTTGACTACGCCGGGGAGTCGGAGAAGCGGATCCATGTAAGTCGCATTGATAGCAACAAGCAACACTTGCCGGCTGCCACCAACAATGGAAGTGAGACCAAGAGTGAAACTCAGAGCAAGACTAGCTCTTCGAAAATGTCGTAGAACATCAGCTAGCCACAAGAAATAGTAACCAGCCTAGCCATTCGACCAATAGCGCCCGGCCGGGAGGGGTGGCCCGGCCCAGACTCTTCCTCCCTAGGCTGCCGGATGGGAGCCAAACGGGCAAGATAATGAGCTGAAAATAGTTTTATAGGTAACTAATGGTAGAAACCAGATCGTCCACCACCTGCAACAAATGCGGAATAGGTATTGTAAAGCCCCCGGGGACATCCTAGGGGATCAGCTGCTTGGAAGCAAGCCACTAGCTTTTTAATAGCGTTCCTTCGTATGCCAGGCAATATCGCAAAGTGACAACGACATCTTCCTATAGTTGCTACCTTGGCTTTGCTCCCGACAGTTCTTTAGCCTGCCCCTAATTATGTATCTCTTTTAATGAAGCCGGTTTTGTAGCAGAACGACGAGATCAGAAGCGTATTACGTTGAGCATCAAATTGGATCTCGCCACAGAGATCTAGATCAAGCGGACCTTAATTCTGTCAACTGCATCTTATTCTGTCTTGAGTTCAACATGACTCTAAAGCAGAAGATGTAGAGCAGCGTGCTTCCCTCCACAACTCAACAGCAAAGTCGCGGTCCATCTAGCCAAGCAGGACCAGGTCATGAGCAAGGCAATTTAAATACAGCTCCCGCCGGCGAACCCTAGTCACAGACAAGCGTCAAGGGCCCAAGCGTTCTGAGCATCCCCCGAGTCACAAGTCTGTTCGACAGTAGCCAGTCCACAAGCCATGGGGGCGGGGCGCTCAGAGATATTGACCAAAAGTTCAAGACAAATCCTTGCAACAGGACATTCCCTCTTTTGATCCCTATTAAGGTCTCCAAGTCCTGCAACGGTGCTTAGCCAACGCTAAACCTGTCGTACGACTTGAGCGCTGGGTCTGGTGCCTTTGGGATCGGCTGGGATGTTAATATTGGCTCCGTCACAAGAAACACGGTGAAGCATGTGCCGACGTGCGATGATGAGATTGGTACCTTTATCCTCTCTACCGCCGACGAATTGGTCCCGGATGCGAAGACGCCCCTGCGCACGCTAGAGAGATACGTTGTCACCACGTTCCTCCCGCGTGTCAGGAGCAAGGTTTCTATCATTGAGCGCTGGACCAGCATCACAGATCCCGGCGACGTGTACTAGAGAACCATCTCAAGCTTGAACATGGTTTGTATCTTTGGACGTACAGACGAGTTGCGCGTCTTTGAATTAGGAAGTGATAGGTCCAGACGGAAACGGATCTTCTCATGGCTGCTATGCGAGTGGTACGACACTGTCGGTAATGCCATGGTGTACATCTACAAAGCCGAGAATAGTGAAAGAGTAAGGGCGGTCAATTCCCCAACAAATCTATGTAAACTTAGGAGGGATGATGTTGCCAGGGGCTAGGCTCGGTGTCTCAAGTTGATTTGGTACAGGAACAGGAATTCCAGTGGGGACTTGAAAACCTGGTCAATTGTTCCTTAATCCAAAGACACTACGGATTGGATGTCTGAGGTCGTCTTTGACTACGGCGAGCACGACCTCAACACGCCTACGACAGCGGAGACACTTAAATGGGCTGTCTGTCTAGATCCTTGTTCTAGATGCACAAGCGGGTTCGATATCCGGACCTATTGTCTTTGCAGGCGCATCTTGATGTTTTACCACTTCTCTGCGGAGCTGGGATTGCAAGACTGTCTCGTTTCTTCACACGTCTTGGAGTATAACACCGCAGCGACTGGCTCGTTTCTCACAAGCATCATTAACCTAGGGCACATTTGGGATGGATTAAATCTACAAGGACGCTGGATCTGAAGGCGCTTCTCGGTGACTTGCCAGGCTTAAAGACGCAATGGCTTGATCTCGATGGCGAAGGAATGCCTGGACTTCTTGTACGCAGGAACGGAGTGTGGTATTATTAGAAGAACCAGATGCCGCTACAGTCTGATGAAGAAGACAAAGCAATACAGACAACAGTAGATGGAGAAGGCTCTAATGATGGATATCATGACAGCAGCCAAACCAGCTCTGACATGTGCCAGGAGGACTTTGGAGCTGTCATTCCCATCAGGTCCATCCCAAATCACATGTTAGACCAGCCCACCTATTTTGAAGATCTCGACGGGAACGGTCTTCTCGACCTCGTGGCTTTCGACCACGAAGGTCGTCTCACGGGATACCAAGAGAGAACCGGCGACGGAGATTGGATCCCGTTCGCGGACTTCCACTCCATTCCCACCATCAACATGCACAATAAGAACATAGCCAAGCTGGACATGACAGGCAATGGCCTCGATGACTTGGTATGTACTGCTTACGGGGCCGGCGACGAGATTATATGGTACGAGTCGAAGGGAAAGGCGGGGTTCGCGGCTCCAAAACGCACGGCCACGGGGGTTGCGAACTTGCCCCTGGACTTTGCCGGCACCAATCCCTCGACTCTGACACTTCTGGCTGATATGAGTGGCGACGGCCTTTGAGACGTTGTTGTTGTCACTGACGGACATATCTTATACTGGCCTAACCTTGGGTATGGTACGTTTGACCGGGAGATTATAATGTACAATCCGCCAATCTTCTTTGACCACGGCCTCTTTGATCTGTAATGCGTTTGCCTCATGGATCAAGATGGCTTTGGCACGACTGATCTTGTCTATCTGCCTGGAAGAGGAGGTGTAGTCTGCTATTGAAACCTGGCAGGAAACGGATAGAGCGCAGGCATCGTCGTCCCCAGTTTCCCCGCCGTCCGAGATCCCAGCGATGTCTTCGTGCTCGACCTTCTAGGCAAGGGCAGCTCTTGCTTATGTCATGTTAGCACCAATAAGACATCCAGTGATAAGTTACTGGTCTGGTTTCTCGACATGGCCGGTTCCTCGAAACCCAATCTCCTCAGGTCCTTCTCTAACGGTAGCGGATCCGTCACCACTGTCTCGTACTGTCCGTCTACCAAGTTCTTGCTGCGGGACGAGCGCAAGGGAAACCCCTGGAAGACCAAGTTCCCTTTCCCCGTCCATGTTGTATCACGAGTAGCAACCCAGGATCTTATAGCCCATACGTGCTCCTCCACCCGGTATGCATACCATGAAGGCTACTTTGACGGGAGAGAAAGATAGTTTTGCAGATTCGGCATGGTGGAAGAGCGGAAGACGGAGATGTTTAAACTCAACAACGGAACCCAGTGTCAGAAACCCACGCGCCTGACCAGAAGCTGGTTTCACAACGGATCTCCTAATCTCCTACTGACCCCACAGGGCGGCTACGGCAAACCCCGTCTGGCTTCTCGCCTCCCTTCCGACTTATCCTATGAAGACCGCATGGTGGCTTGCAGGGCCCTACGAAGTACAACTCTAAGGTACGAGATCTACGGCGAGGACAAGAGGGATAGATCAAATATCCCGTATCTTGTCGTGGAGAACGCCAATGACGCCGCGTTGGTCCAGGAGTGAACAGGTCCGGGTCGTCATGCCGTCTTCGATGTGCAACATCGAGAGTCTTGCACGCTCCATTACGAGAGAGTCGCAAACGACGCACACATCGAGCACGTAATGGTCTTGTCGAGAAATATATACGGAGACATCACGAGCAGTCTCCAGATATTCTATCGCAAATATTCAAACAGTCCTTCGCCGCCTGGCGGCCAGCCCATGGCTTTGGCTAAGCAAACAACCAACTTCATCAAATACTCCACGTTCGAGTACACAGACTCGGCCATCAAAGAGCGTCATGTCTTTTACAAACCTGTCATCACTGATGTAGCCAAATATATCGTCTTCGGACTACCGGTCAATAGTATCTTAGACTTTAGTCAGATAAAGAAAGCGTCTTTCGCCACAATCCCAAGATTGACCAGTGCCATAGCAGGCAATATAACTTCACTTAGCAGCTCTACCAGCAAAGTCTTAGTTCTAACAAAGAGAAGCCTAGCGTACTACTGATTCAGTGATTTAACTCAACAACTAGAGCACCACAAGTTTAAGGCATTCGGAGTAATTGACCAGACGTTTGACCTTGTTATAGACCAGACGCCTCAAGATCAAGTCTACGGAGCCAACAACACACTCAAGGGGGCATCTCAACAAGCCTACAGGCAAGATAGCCATGTCAATCTCAACAATAACAGGAACTAGTGGGCGCCATCGTCGAGAACCTTTTTCAGTGTACCAAAAGGGGCTAATCTAGGCAGCCAGCTCAAAGCGGCCAGGGTATCCTTTTTCACATCCACCTAGACAATAAATCCTTTCAACAACAGGGCAACTATCAGATCCAATACTTGCTACCTTCTCCTACTGCAGCTCATGGACACTGTCAGAAGTATTACCAGCTTTAAGAAGGACTACCGCCGCCTTCAAGCTCAGACTGTCACAGATCCAAACCAGAATCGGACGCAGGTCCTTCGCAATGCACTTGGACATAAGGCTGCAACAGCCCAAATAGGTAAAAAGGACAAGTCTATTAGAGATTACCGTTAGGAACTGCCCACAGTTGTGAATCTAACCATCATACAAGCGTTTTAGATAAACCCAACAGAAGCCGTCACAAGAGACCTCCTTAGTTAAGCTAGAACCTACACACTGTACTACAAGTATACATTAGGCATTACGTCAACTTTACCTCCATTGTCCCCAGTGCCACTGTCATCAGAACTACAATTCGCGCAAATATTAACCATTCAACTCTCCAGGTCAAAGCATGTCATAGGCCAAGGCGCCAACGCAGAGCCTGATAACATCACAATAGCAGTCAATTACTTCAACAGCGTTTCTAGACTCCTCCAGTCCGTCACACTAAGGCTTTGGGAAACTGAGGGCAACAAGTCTACTTGCTGGGCCTTCTCAGGCAGTACCATCTACAATGAAGATAAGAACATAGTCCAGGCAGCTTAGCCCTTCTTTAGGGATAATCACCTTCCAAAAAGCACCAAGGCGTCAAGTCATTCTATACCCTCAACTTCATTAATGCCATAAGCCACTCCGTCGGAACACTTAATCCTGATCACACTTGGAGCAAGGTCAAGCTTAAACCATGGACAATCTACAACTTCAATGCTAGCAATTTAATAAGGGGATCAGGTCCCCTTGCTGATAAAGACCTAGGTTATCACACCAAAGGCCTTAATAAGGCTCTATACTTGCCTTCGTTCTACAACAGGGCAGCTCTCAAGACAAACCAAAATGCCCAACTAGCGGCAGAGAAGAGCTTGGTATATACTGGCTGCCACACGTTGAGTTTTCTGAATTCTCAAGGCCCAGTCGTTCAGACGTCCCACAAAATCACATCCGTAGAAGATGATCATCACTGGGTCTTCTGCTACAACGCTCACAGTGACAAAGTCAAAGAAGTCAACCTACTTAGCCAGACTGTCCAGCAATACACATACGATCTTTCCAGGCGCACCATTCTAAGAAAAGCCATGGACCCCGGATCCGTCGTGGTCTTGTTCGACTGTCTCAGCAACCCGCTGGTAAGCTGGGAGAGAAATGGATGCCTAAAGCTTACGCAGTACAATAGTCAACAAAGAGAGACGGAGGTCAAAGTAGTCAAGAACAACAAGGCAGAATACATCTGGTCGCAAATCAAATATAGCGACAATGAAGCATATAAGGCCAAAGCCTTGGCCTTGAATCAGAGAAATCAAGTCATCAATGTCTGGGATCAGTCCAGTGTCAGAACAAACAATCTCTATGATTTCAAAGGAAACTGTACCAGATCCACTGTTAAGTACACGACTACATATCGTTCCGTGTTCAATGCCACTCCAGAAATGCTCCTTGACGGCGAAGTGTTTGTGATAAATTCCGAGTTCGACGCACTCGATCGTGAGAAGTCATCGACGGATGCCGTGGGCAGGGTTACGCGGCGAAAGTACGAACTGGGCGGGGGCTTGACTGAAGTATCGACCTCGTCGGATGGTCAGAGATGGGTTCCACATACATCAAGCATTCAGTACAATGCAGACGGGGTTTTTACTGTCGTTGAGCATGGGAACTCTACGCGGACCTCTTATACCTACGGAGACCTTGATCGCCGTCTCGTAGGGAAGAGGACTTTGCGCAAAGACGACACGGTACTGGATGACATTCCATATGTCTACGACTGTCTTAGAAGAATGGTCAGCACTAAAGATGCCGCGCAACAGGACGTCTTCTTCCAGAACATGAAGGTCGACAGTTCGTCAAACTACACCTACGATACCCACGGCAGGCTGGTTGCCGCCACCGGAAGAGAAATGCTCTCAGGCGCAGAAGATCCCTGGTTCAGCTCCAGGTCTAATTCTCTCCGGCGCCAGTTGATTACTGATGGCTTATAAATGTCATAATACACTAAGACATACAAGTACGACAAGTCAGACAACATTCTAAAGAAGACGCACAGGACAAAAGACAGAAGTGTCACTGACTAGATCATGTCCTATGGCTACAAGGCAATTACAATAAGCAACCTGCTGGAGTTCACTAGGGTAAACAAGAAGACAAAGACGTACATTTACGACGAGAGCGGATGCATGATCTCCTTGTCAGGGTTTTCGAAACTTAAGTAGGATGGCTATCACCGGCTATAGGCCAGCTCACAGCAGCAAGTTAGCACCGTCGGCCTCTTGGACTAGTAGACGCCTGTGGACGTTAGCACAAGAGCCAAGTTCGGTATAGCCGCTGGCATAGGCATGCTCAGAGGCGTGGCCAGCTACGCCCTGTCCATGACATAGGAATCCCTCAAGGAAGGCAAAAAGGGTTTTAACACAAGCAACGCCAGGACCACCGCCAAGATCGCCAAGGACAAAGACGCTAAGCGGAACCAGGCCATCGCTAACCTTGGGGCTAGCAAACGCACGCTCGCCCAGGAGAAGGAGGCCCTTGCCAACAAGAACAAGGTTCTACTAAAGGACAAGATAAATATTAGCTACTAAGGCCTTAGTAATAGGCTACTAATAGCCTAGGAATACTATAATACTAAAGCCTTTAATTAACTAAAGAAGCTATCTTTAGTAAAGCTACTTTAAGAGTAAAAGGGTTAAAAACACTTAATTTTACTAATAAGTAGATAGCCTACTAAAGTATAAATAAAGACTAATCTTAAATAAATCTTACTAGGTATAGATAAAAGTTAATAATACCTAACTAAACTAATGACTTACTAACTATATATTAAAAAAGAGGTTAATAACACCCTAAGTAACTAACTAAAAAGAGGCTAATAATACTTTAACTTAACTAACAAGGACTATAATAGCGTTAAAGACAAAGACTATAAAGAAGAAAGGTAATTATAAGGATATTAGTCCCCTAGATTAATAAGTAAAATACTAAGAATAAATTTAGGTAATTAGTTAGTGAGTCTTTAGTAATACCTTAGCTATTATATGTATTTATAAGAATAGTATAGTTAGACACCACGTTAGAAGGCAAAGTTAAATCCTAATAATATACTTAACCTTATCTTCTTCCCTAATTAAGTATAATATCTAATTCTATTACACTATAATAAACTATAGTGTCTTTATATTTCTAAAGAGAAGTAGTTAATCTCTTCAAGTCTAAGTATAATATAAATATTACCTATAAATACTCTTCCTAATATAGGTTTTATTAGTTAGAGACACTACTTTACAGTGTCCTTAACTATAGTGCCCTCTAAAAAGTCTAAAAACTTGTAAAAAGTCTTATCTAAAGTCTACTAGACTTAAGAAAATAGCTCTAAACTCTCTATGTTATCCCCTATTATCCCTTATAAGCTTTTCTATAAAGTATTTTACTACTTTAAGTACTTATGATTCTCTAAACTATAAGAAAAAAAGAACTTAGCTTATAAAACATTCTAAATAAGTAACTTATATTACTATATAGAAGCTTTTACTATATAGTATATACCTAAGTTAATAAGATATACTAAATAGAAGATAGTAAGTTTAATAGCTTTTAGGTAACGCTTTCTATATGCTATTAGACCTTTTAGAGGGCACCGTAGAACTAGCTATATAAAGCTGTTCTAGCTTAATAACATCCTTTAAATAGGTAAAACTCCTTTAGTGCTACTACTTTAGCCTAAGTTACTAAAGAGGTTTCTTTCCTTGTTAAAGTAAGCTTTATTACTAAGCTAGATGTAATTATAGATAAATACATATAATGCCTAGTATAAAACAAGTGACACAGTAGTTGTATATAATAGATTTATAGATAGTGCAAGAAATACTTCTTTTAACGCTTATATGGGCCTAGTCCTGTTTTTCTAGCTAGGAGTATAATTAAATGCCCTTAGACAAGACAAAATAAAGCCAAGGATGATAGTGTGTCTTGTCATCCACTGGATCTAAAATATTTGGGAGGTATTTTGTACGCCATTCTTCTTGGGCAGCATCATTGAAGTTTCTCGGGTTAAGCCTCACCCATTTCGCCTTGCAATATTCCCAGTACGCAGGAAGCCACCCCGCCTGGCCCCAATCAATAATAGCTGCCACTTTTGGATTCTTCCCCCGCGTCAAGATGATGTTAGGTGGGACGAGATCATTGTGTGTGAACGCGATTGGCGCTTCGCCATTGATCTCGATTCCGCAAGCATCTTGAAACTCCTGGACGGCGTTGGTGCCAATGAACGGACCTCTGAGATCTGGGTGGCATACCAGGAATATCTCGTTCAGTGGTTGCTTGCCTAGACTGCCTGAAGAATGTGACTCATATTAGAATTGCTTGCAAAGTAAGTCAAAGTACCCACTTACCGACCACCCCCTCATTCCGACCACCCAAAAATGCCTCATCCACCCCCTCTATCTACCACAACCCTCCTACTTCAAACTATCACCACTTTTACTACCTTTATCCAAATCGCTTCATTTTTTGTATATGACTTCTTTATACCCCTATGGTTGAATATACCGAAGACCAGGTCCAGTAGGCACTAAATGCCATTGCAGCTGGCGTTAGTCAGCGCCAGGCATCTCGCATCTATAGTATCCCTAAGACTACGTTACAGAACCTTCTATCTGGCACTACCCAGACCAGGCAGTCTGCCTTTTCTGACTATCAACGACTCTCTATTAGTCAGGAGGCTAGGCTGGCTGGTTGGGTGCAAACCCAGGTTGATCTCAGTTATCCTCCAACCTATCAACAACTAAGGGAATTTGCCCAGCGCATCCTTAAGGCTATAGGTAATAATAGACCAATTAGGAAGAAGTAGGTAAATGCCTTTATCAAGAGGAATCCATCTATTAAGGTCTAGAGAAGTCGCTTTATTAATTCTCAACATGTTAATAGGGCATCTACTAAGGTTATTAGGGAATAGTTTAAATATCTCGCTATCCCTTGTATCACTGCTATTAAACTAGCTAATAGATATAACATAGATAAGACTAGCATCCTTAAGGGCAAAGGAGATAATAGGCTAGTGCTAGGCAGGGCAAAGACAACATCTATAAAAAAAAAGTAGCCTAGATTAAGAGCCTAGGTATTTATTATTAAGTGTATATTTACTAATAGTAATACTATCTATCTATTAGTTATATATAAGGGTAAAACAGTCTAGTAGTAGTAGTTCTCTCTAGATCTAAACCTATATAATAGGTAGTAGTTTATAGTAACAGAGAATAGATAGACTACTAATAATATTACTATTAAATAGCTATAGAAGGTCTTTATCCCTTAGACTAAGCCCTTTAACCCTAATTAGGCTAGACTACTAATCCTAGATAGGCATAGGAGCTATATAATAATAGACTTTATATAGTTATACTATATCTATAATGTTTATCTATTGTTCTTGCTACTATATACCTCCTATGTCCTCTAGCTACTTAACTAGGCAGTCTTTAGGCCTATAAAGGCAGCCTATTACAAGAAGCTTAGATATCTAAGTTAGTAGAATAATTTAACTATTATTAGTAAAAGGAACTTTATTAGCTGTTACTACAAGGCTTACTAGGCTAGGCTAACTATAGGTAATATTAAAAGTAGTTAGAAATACACTAGGTTATAGCCTATTGCTTTAGTAAAACCCTTAATAAGTAGGCATCTAGTCTAGAAGGCAACATTGTCATCAACAGCACTATTAACACCACTTAACTAGAGGGCAAAAGAGGCCTATAGGGCCTAGGGTATAGAGGAATAGGCATCTGCCTTATCTATAGTTAAGTGGTCTACGCTAAAGAAGGTTAAAGACCTTAGAGATTAACTACATCTATTCAGCCAACTAGAACAAAACATTACTATATAACGCTAGCTCTTTAGAAAGGTTAAAAAAGGCTTCAAAGAGCAGGCCTTTAAGTTAGCTACCGCTAAGCACCAAATACAGCTTCTCTAGGCCAAAGTTAATAACAGTACTGCTAAGAAAAGGAAGGCTGTTACCCTAGATCTAAACATAAAGTTTACGACTATCAAAGAGGTGCAGTAAGCCTAGGTTAAGGCTAGTGATACTAAAAGTAAGCTAGATGAATCTAGCGCATTAGAATTATCTAGTAAGGCTAAAAGTTGCATTATTGTGGCTTCAAGAGGTAGTTAATAGTTAATTAATAAAGTGGTAGTTGTTGTGATGGCATCATGATTCATGTGGTTGGAATGGGGGGGTGGTCGGTAAGTGGGTACTTTGACTTAACTCGCGATAATCCACTTACCAACAAATCGATCATGACTGTCTTGCTCCAAAGCTCGCAACACCCTCACCATTTCTTTGAGTTCTCCACAAATCACATGCCTCTCGTCTTCATTCATATCACACCATACTTCTTGCAATGTTACGCCCTCTATCAAGGACATGTAAATAAACCGCTGCCCATCATCTTCGGCCCAGCCAAAGATCTCAGGCACGGGGACTTTGCCTTGCAGTCGCTCATGCACCATCATCTGAGTCTCAGCTTCGAGAATTGCGACATTGCCACCGTACTTGACAAGCAATCCTAGCGACGGGAATGTGACGGGTGGTGGGCGGTCGAAGCTTGAAGCACGGATATTACCAAATTCCTTGTTGCGGGCTCTGACCTCAGCTGGCGTAGGAAGTGTGGACGCGCGTCTCTCTTTAAAGAAGCTCGACTCAGGAAAAAATTTCATCTGACCAGGGGCGGAGAATCCATCGAAGCTTGTGATCGGAGGTGGGGTTTCTGCGGTAGACATCGTATGTAGGTGATAGCATACGTGGTTTAGAATATCCGCGGTTCCGTTGGAACTATGTTGTTGGTGAAGTGAGTTTGTGTACATGGTCACAAATTTGTGGGGTATCCTACCCTGTTTTTGTAACTCGAGTGCAGTGTGATGAAAATTGTCAGCGCGTCACAAGAACACGCGCTTTTTATTGGCTTACGCTAGCAACTCAATCCCTGAATGGTTTACAAGCTTTTGTTGCTAGTGCACTTAGCAGTTGCTAGTGAGCCCTAGTATTAAGTTGTGGGTCTTTTTGTGTCAGTAAGCGCCACAGTTTTAAAAGGCACAATGACCAAGCAAGCGCTTGTACCGTAATAGCAAGCCAGTAAGATATTAATTGGTGGCGGATAATGGACTCTCCTCTACTAGGATGTTCACCCCCGTCGTATGTGACATAGCCGCCAACCATTGGAAAAAATAACAATAAGACCTGCTGGCTCAAGGCTTAGTTCTTGCATCGGGGATCTAGCGCGCGCTTTGAGTTGTTTTTGGCAATTCCGAGCATTGGCTTTGAAGCATTCTTCTAGAGAGCGAAATACGCACATATAAAGGTAACGAGAGAATCAAGAATTAGGCATTGAAATTCGATTGCTCTGTGGAAACAAACACCGAAATATTTGAAGAGAAAACTTCATGCATTGATCATCATGCCTTCTTTTCCCAGTACCTCCCAGACTGGCGGCGCTCCGCCGCCTCCTCTACCTCGGCCGATTGTCAAGAAGGCTCCCACTCCACCTCCAGCCCCAAAGCCGCCAGTTGTGGCCTCGAAAGGCCCTCATGGAGCCTTTTTGGTGGAATTGCTGGTGTATAACGGCGCGCCCTTCAAAGATCATTGGGCATAATTTGTGTGCTCGCACGAAAACCGTCACATCGGCGTTTTGCTTCATGCGACAGGCGGCGTTAAAAACGGCTTCGAGTTCGAGATCAAGCGTAGCCATGACTTCGACGCAACCAGAAACTATCCTACGAAAAGGACTCCGCTGCAATGGGTTAATGCACAACATTTTAATGAGAAGGCGATGCTCAACAATGGCAGACAAAAAATTAACACTGTATTATTTTGTGAGTGGGGTAGGTAGGCTATGGTCTCTGTTGCTTGACGCGTCACATGTCGATATTCAAGAACAGGGACCTTCTTAATGATGAAGTGTAACATTTGTCTTGTCCAATGCAAGGAAGTAAGAGCCTTAGTAACAGGAATATTAAATAAGAAGATAAGGGAAGAGGTTAGGAGACAGAGAGCAACGAAGAATGTCTTAGATGTCTTGGGTTTAGTAACAGAGATATATACCAGTAGCCCTTGGGGAAATTGTAATGTTTTATCCCAGGAATGTTACTAATGGGGTTGTGGAATGGATAGAGCTAGTGCCTAGTAAAATTCTGAACTTAGTGGATAAAATAAGCTAAACTACACAAAGAGAAGTAAACAATGTTACTAAGAAATACACATTAAGACACGGGAATAAGAATTAATATTAGTCTGTTGTCTAAGAAAGGGGGACCTTAACTTGTAACATAATTGTGTTTTAGCCTTTGGTTACTAAAATTCCTAAATGGTTGGCTATAATGTGGTAACCTAGGCTAAGAGACATAATTAATAATACTAAGAGATTTAAACCTAGATTTAGGAATAATAATGTATATTAGAATGTCAAGCCTAGCGAGGAGAGTTTGGTGTAGGAGTTGGTGGGGCGATGGGAAAGACGGGAGGGGGACGAGTACAAATGGGGCCCAGAACCTCCTACTCAGCCATCACTTTGGGCGGCAATAACATTTGATTCGAATTGGCGTCGTGTATCCTATTACATATCAGGCTCAGTTCTAGGCCTGTTATGGAGGGTCAGCTGGATGAACTCTAGTTGCAAGCAAACGATTGGAAGATAAAGCCTGTCACATTGTAGGATGCGGCAGAGGACTGTTAAATATGATTGTGTAACGATATTGCAAAATTCTGTAGTATACAGGTTGACAGAAACCTGTACTTCTGGTGTTAGATAATTCAACGACAAGCAGCTAGAGCGATTCGCTGAAATGGAACAGCACTTGACCGGAGACAGGTTGATAGCTGGGCTTATACACACATGCATAGAGTTTATTACGCCTTGGCCAAGCCATAAAGGGCTCTTCTATCTATCTTACATGCTCCCTTGTTGAGTGTTTACCCTGGTCTCGAGTGAGCCCCCATGCAAGACCCACTTTCGTCTGCATTATCATTGATTGCTCCTTCCCATTTTTGCGGGTTCTCATGGGGTTCGTAGCAGGTATTCATCCTGGAGCCAATACCTCCAAGTGTTCAGGTCCCTATCTTCGGCGGCTAAAGCAAGCCCTGCTTTCGGTAGCACACGAACGCGTATGGGGCTAGTCGGTGGTTAGTGTTAATGATGTGACGTTATGTTGTTCCTGTCCTATGTTAGGTTGACCTGCATGTCGAGTCGTCCTGTTGTTATGGCAAACTTCACTTTTTCCACTCGCAACGCTCTAAGGGCACTCAATCTAGCAAATTCTTAATTCAAATGACTTAGCGCACGCAGTGCCATTGTATTCGCATTTCTACTCCCAACACCTCTATCAACTCATTGGTATGCACACACTCTCAAGTTACAGTAACTCGGTGCAAGTACCCCTCCTCCGGCAGAACAGATATGAACTTGGGTGACCTTTAGGTCCATAACGCCTAACCGCCGTCTGTAAAGCCTGAAGTGAGCTCGTTGTCTCCCTAGTTAAGAATACTTGAAGCCGCCGCCCTTGATACAACAAACACTTACGCGTGGTACAGTGGTTCTTTCCACTGACAGCCCAGTTCGAGCAATCCTTCGTTTGGCATTTCTTCGCCGTGCCATACACAACCAAAGCGTTTGCTTGAATGTCGATCTCTGCCATACTGTCTGAAGCAAGGTTATTTATTACAGGTAAAAGCAGAACCCGGGTTGGCAAAGACTTATGTGATGATCAGAACGTATTTTTGAAGTTGAGATAAGCCTCCGAGACAGTCGTTCAGGATCTAGGGGCGTGTCCGTTATTTAAACCCGTCTTCAGTGTCGAAAGCTACAGTCCACATGCCCTACTAAGAGCTTTAGGTCATGAAACTTGCATCTCAGATATCAAAACTTGCATCTCAGATATTAATTTGTTTTTGGCACTTTTTGAAAGGGGGAACGCGGAAGATATCGTAACCTGACCGGAATGGCCAGTCTCGTGGATGTCACACTAGCCATGCATTAACCATCTGTCGCCAAGGAACCGCCTGGATTTTGCAACGGGTTATGACTGGCTATGACTTGCTTGTCGTTGTTAGGCGGGCGGAATAAGTGCGTCTTCAATATGTGGGGCGTTCGGCAAGTGCGGGGTTCACAATATAATGGTGGTGTCTAGCCCTTTATCACGGTTGGTACACCTCGAACGCCAGGCCTCAGTCAACACATCACCACACACGCACACGCACTTTCAAACTCTCCAAGATGGTCCTTCGCACTTGCTGCTTTTCCGGATGCCGGACTCCAGCAGAACGCAATGTCGGAAGCTGCATGATATGTGGACAGCACCTGTGCCACGACCATGTAAGAGGAGACAGTCACAAATGCCCTTCATACGTCAGCAGAGCCATCTCTCAAATATAGTAGTCCAAGGTACTAACTTTGTACAGGACTCCGATCCAGATGCGTTCTATAGTGAATACCAAGACGCAAAAAGAAGTTATCTCGTGGCTACCTTGGCAAGGATCCAGGTCGATGCTCTCAAGGCTATAGCAAGCAAGGCCAGGAACGGCATCCTTTGCTGTATTCCTGCGCTCGCCAGTGATGTAGACCAGAATAGTCGCATCAAGATCGTTGAGGGGCAGTGCGGCGGCCAGAATTGTCACCTAGAAGTAGTCTTTGATGACAGCGTTGTGTGGATCGCGAGGATACGCCTCTCGGACCCGCTGCTGCCTCCCCAGCCCGTGCAGGACCACATTTTCTTAAGCGAGGTCGCAACCCTCCAGTTCCTCGCTCAGACGTCAATACCCGTCCCAGCTGTGTATGATTACCAGCTAGGATCACCTAACAACCCCGTGGGGACATCATACGTGTTAATGGAGAAGATGCCAGGGAAGCCCTTGGACTGGGGCAGAGCCACGCCAGAGCAGCGGTCCAAGGTTGTAAGGCAACTAGCGGATATATACTTGGAGATTGAGAAGCATCCCCTGCCGGCAACTGGCTCACTAGTTTCCGCGAAGGACACTGGAAAAGTCGGGGGCTTCGCTCAAAAGCCTTGGTTCACAACACCAGAAGCACCAAGCGGGCCCTTCACGTCGCTCGCCGTCGCTTATGAGACAGTCATCCACCAGCATCTGCAGGCCATTTCCATCCGGGAGATTGCAAACCTTCCCATCGACAATTACCTCGCCTTATCGTACTACCTCTCCGCGGTCCCGGACCTAGCCGCGTCATCGGCCTCGCGCGAGGGGCCATTTTACCTCAAACACGGCGAGGACAAAGGCGATCATATCTTTGTGGATGACGAATATAATATCACGGGCATGATCGACTGGGAGTTTGCGTCGGCCGAACCAAAGGAGCTCGCATTCAGCTCGCCGTGTATGATGTGGCCGGTGGGTGATTTCTACGACGGTAAGAACAACCTCGCCGAGGAAGAGGTGGAGCTCGCCAGCATCTTCGATAGTTGCGGCCGGGGGGACCTCGCTAGGTGCGTTAGGGATGGCCGGCGCTGGCAGCGATTAAGCTATTTCTTGGGCGGTGATACCCCGAGAGATGAGGCTGAATTCGAATCGCTTTTCAAGGGCCTCCGAAGCAGCTTCGCCGATGACAAGGAAGATGTTTCATATAAGGAGTGGAAGCAAAAAGCGCTCGATACTTTCGCTAGGGACAATCGGCAGCTTAAGAAACTGCTGACCCAGGAAACGTAAACCTGGCAAAAACAAAAAGGGCGAGAAGATCAAAACACTGAACTCATTGTGCGACAAACAGCGCTGACATCAAAGCAAACGATTTGATCAGATTAGAGTAGAAAACA